TCTGGGCCTCAGCGGGGGCGGCCGCGGGGGCGGCGCGCCGGTCGTCCGGGAAGGGGGGGGAGTCCTTGGACGTCTGCCGGGACAGGGGGCTCTGGGGAGTGCCAGGCCGCGGGGTCCAGGGCCGGGAGTCGGGCGAGGGGCCGGTGACCGGGTGCGACGGGGAGTCCAGCCCTGAGTCTTCCACGTTCTCTGGCGACGAGGAGGAGAAGGGCGAGGGGCTGGATGCGAGGACGTAGGCGCGGGATGCTGAGGAGACAGGGGCGCGTCACAGCCACCCACCCCAGCTCCTGCCCTGGGGGGCCCCAGGGGAGCCCCCGGCTCCCAGCAACCGCCCGGACACCTGGGTTCACCGACCTCGGCCACCCCCTTCCCATGGAGCATCCCCTCCCGCCCCACCACGGAGCAGGGCTGGGGCATAACGACCCAGGACAAAGCCGCCCAGCCCCCACCGGTACCCGAGAAGTCCTCTGCTTCGAAGGCAGACTCCAGCGGGGGCCCGAACAGGGCGGTGGAAGAGGCCGCATCCAGCCGGCGTTTCCCGATGTAGCTGAGGAGAGAGCAAGGCTGGACAGTCAGGAGGCCCAGCCACACGCTGCCCTGCGCCCCCACCCCCTCCGCCCCGGGGTGGGCCGTGCCCAGAGCCAGCAGAGCCGGTGGCAGGGAGCATGGCTGCACCAAGGAGGACCCTGTTCCTTCCTCGCTGGGCTAACGCAGGGAGCCCCTACACCCCATATCGCCAGCCCCCAGCCACCCAGCCCAAAAAGGGGGCACGATGTCCCCCATGCCCAGGCTCCCATACCTGTTGATCCGGGCCGCGGGGTGGCATGGCTTGGCCTTCCCAGTGGGTTCACCTGCTGGGAAAGGAACGGGGGCGAGCCCTGAGCTGCCAGGAGCCACAGCCCCCTTGGAGCCGCCCCGCACGGCTGCGCCCGGAGCAGCCCCGCCAGCTCTTGCAGGGCAACCGGAGCCGCTGGGGACCCCCCGGTCACACTGGGCAATGCCCCCATGACGCAGCAAGGCCGGCCGTGCCCACCCCCCCGCCACTGCCCCACTCTCGCCTCACCCGCAGCCAGCGCCACGTCCGCCGGGGCCGTGCTCAGCGCAGAGATGTGTCCTGGGGAACGACCAAAGGGGCAGCGTTAGTGCAGTGCCACCGGGTCCGGAGGGGCAGCACAGAAAGGATCCCAGCAGCCCCCGCCACCCCCGTGCCCACTTACGGGACGACTGCCTCTTCACTGTGCCCTGCGGGAGGAGGAGGCAGGTTAGCATGGGGCAGCCCCACAGCCCCCCAGCCCTGCCCTCACCCAATGGCCCACCGCGCTGTGCTCCTGGACCCCTCCCTAGCTCCCCCCCACCAGTGCTTGTCTCACCCCAATGCTGGGGGGCAGGATGAGGTTCCCCACCGTGGCCTTCAGCTGCTCATCGGTGGCTTCGGCGCTGCCGCCCGCCTCGCGGGGCTGCACCGGCTTGATGTGGATGTAGAACTTGCGCGGCTCGTCGTCATCGTAATCCGAGTCGCTGGACGAGCAGCCGTGGTTCTCAGCCTCGTCTGCAGCGCCGTCAAGGCCAAAGCCGAGAACCCGCTGCCGTGAACCCTGCTGGCCACTAGGAGGTGCCCCTGCCCCATGGCAGGCACAGGATCTGGCCACGCCGCCACAGCCCATGCCACGCCAATGCTCCCAGCACCGATAGCACCACCGAGGTGCCCAGCGTGGACTGCCCCAGCATGCCCAGGCATGGCCACGGGGTGGGGGGGGTCATGCTGCGACACAGGACACGGGACCCTGCAGCTGTGTCTGCCATGGCCTCACCTCATTTAGAGACCCCGGGGGGCTGGCAGGGACCTCTTCCATTTCTCCTGTGCCTGGTGAAGGGCATCTGAGCCCGGAAGCTTGCAAAGAAAACTATTTTCTTTTGCAACTATTTAGTTGGTCTAATAAAAGATAATCACCTCTGCCCCAGGAGTTTTGTCTGCCTAGACTCTTAAACCAACACGGCTACAACCGAGACCCCGGCACGGGGGGAGGCTTTTGGGCTCAAACGGGTTTGCAGCAGCTGCTCCGTGTCTGCCCCTTGCAGCCAGGGAACGGGTGCTCTTCTCCTCCTCCCTCCAGCCTGGCACAGAGCAGGGTGCCCTGCTCCACCAGCCCCAGTGACCCCATCCACATCCGGCCTTTCTCCTGGCCTCGGTTTCCCCAGCCAGGTCTACCTGTTGCAGCCTGGGAGCCAGGTGTTGTAGCCTCCTGGCTCAGGCCAGGCCCTGGGGGCTGCCCCATGGGTGCTAGCCTGGGGGGGGAAGCCGGGAGATCAGCCGAGCCCAAGCACTGGGTGTTGTGCAGCCACATTAGGGATGGGGGGGCAGACGCCTGGCACCTCCAACAACTCCCCCCCACCCCGGCCTGCACAACAGGAAGCTGCCAGATCTACTCAGCAGTTTTTCCCAGCCAACAAGATAGAGCCGGGGGGGAAGGAAATAGCAGCCGGGGCCACGGGATGCGCCGCTCACTGGGGGGTGGATTCCTCCCTGGGTCACCCCCCACGCTAGCAGGCACGAGGCCGGGCAGCACGTGGAGCCGCAGACTCCCTGGCATGGCTCAAACCCCGGCTGGCCCCAGGGTATTTCCCTCCCCGCCCCCATGGCTCCTGCCAGCCACGACCCCCGCCCCCAGCACAGCCAAGGATACTGTTCTGGTTGACGTTGGGGCGCACAGTGAAGCCCTCCTCATCCACCTCCGGGCAGGTCTGGGGGAGATGGCACCATATGGGTCCCCCCACTCTCCTGGCCTGGCCTGCGCCAGCATCCAGGCAGACTAGGGCAGCCCAGGTGC